TCCAACAGAAGTAGGGAGGTGTTCATTATGCTTTAAGTATGCGTTGTATGTACTGGCTGAGTGATCTGATGACTCCCATTGGTGGTGATGATGATGATGATGATGATGATGATGATGTTTTGAGGAAGATGTGTTTGTTGCTTAAGCCACATTCAGCAATATTTCAGCTGTATGTAAATAATCAAGCTTGATTGGTTGATTTGTTGTTTAACGCCACACTCAGCAATATTCCAGCTATATGACGGAGTTCTGTAAATAATCGAGTCTGGACCAGACAATCCAGTGATTGATATCATGAGCATCGATCCACGCAATTGGGATCGATGACATGCATCAACCAAGTCAGCGAGCCTGACCACCCGATCCCGTTAGTCGCCTTTTACGACAAGCATAGTCACCTTTTCGGCAAGCATGGGTTGCTGAAGACCTATTCTACCCCGGAATCTTCACAGGTTAATCAAGCTTGAACCAGACAAACAAGTGAGATGCACTACAATTCATGGTATCAGGGTACAATGACAGGCACCCAACCAAGTCACAGTGACCACTCGATCCACTAAGTCCCTTGTAGGCGAAGGGGTCGCTGTTACTGAGGTCTACTCACCAGGCTGGTTCTCCAGGATGCTTATGGCTTGTGTGGCAGCTGAAGCCAGCATGGGGGGCAAGGAGGCCGAGAAACAGTAGCCCAGTCCTGACAGACGCTGGAACACGGACAGACATCGTCACCATCAACAGGCACCAAAGAAGCCATTCTGACAAAACTGCATATCACGTTCACCCCAAATATCAGACATAATTGAATTCTTTTCCCCCAATAAATTCCAAGATGCTTTTGTATAAAAAAGACCAGATGAGGTGAAATAAGGTTGCAATTATATTCCGATGCGTGTGTGGTTGCTTGTACTAGGAAGGACTCATGCTGGTTTTATGGCGCTAGCCAAATGAGATACCATGCAGCAGTTGATTATGATTACCCTCCTCAGTCACAGCATATAGCCACTCCCAGGCAGGGAAACAAGAATACCATATTTAATATCTCTTGTACCGTGGGTGAGTGGGTGCGTGGATGAGAGTGAGTGAGTGATAAGTGAGTGAGTGAGTGAGTGAGTGAGTGAGTGAGTGAGTGAGTGAGTGAGTGAGTGAGTGAGTGAGTGAGTGAGTGAGTGAGTGAGTGATGCAGGTCTCAGACATTTACAATTTTGGTGGAACCCACAAACATGGGTATTGTGCTGACAAACCTAGAAACAGCGAACTGTGGCGCCTTAGATGATTGAGAACCTTGGTTACTCAGACGATTAAGAAGTTTCGAATAAAACCATTATTGTTTTGATCGTTAGACTTGATAAAAATCATTCCTATGCTTACCTGGTGATCAATGACGTATTTCCGCCCAAAACAGAATCATTCCTATGCTTACCTGGTGATCAATGACGTATTTCCGCCCACAACAGAATCATTCCTATGCTTACCTGGTGATCAATGACGTATTTCCGCCCACAACAAAATCCCCCGATGGAGGCAATGGAGTTCTCTAGAGATGCAGCAATCAGATCAATTTCTTCTATCTGTAAAAACAATATAATCACAAGATAACAGTAATGCAATATATAAATAATTGTTCTACAGTCTAACAGACTTTTTATAATTAAGATGTTTTGATTTAGCTAGTTGAAGGAAAATAGGAATCAGAGCATTTCCCTTATTTACATCCTGATACAACAGTAAGCAATATTCCTTCTTGCTTCAATCAAATAACAGTGTAGAACAGTCGCCCAAACACACCCTCCAACCACCTCACTCCAGCATGCTCCTGTACTACTCCTAACCCACCTTTTCCCACGATTGCCCACATACTGGTGACCAAGCTGCCAGGCGGGGCGGGTGAAACTTCAGTCACTGACGACAGGCCTGCATGGACCAGAGGATGAAACAAATTCCACCATGCCCGTGGAACACTGACGACAGGCCTGCATGGACCAGAGGGTGAAACAAATTCCACCATGCCCGTGGAACACTGACGACAGGCCTGCATGGACCAGAGGGTGAAACAAATTCCACCATGCCCGTGGAACACTGACGACAGGCCTGCATGGACCAGAGGGTGAAACAATTTCCACCATGCCCTTGAACACTGACGACAGGCCTGCATGGACCAGAGGGTGAAACAAATTCCACCATGCCCGTGGAACCCTGACGACTGGCCTGCATGGACCAGAGGGTGAACAAAATTCCACCATGCCCGTGGAACACTGACGACAGGCCTGCCTGGACCACAGGGTGAACCAAATTCCACCATGCCTGTGGAACACTGACAACAGACCTGCCTGGACCACAGGGTGAACCAAATTCCACCATGCCCGTGGAACACTGACAACAGGCCTGCATGGACAAGAGGGTGAAACAAATTCCACCTTGCCAGTGGAACAAGGAGGAGTCCTCAACTCGTTTCCCCCCGATGATTTGTAGGGTCTGGGAGAGAGTCAATTCCAGTTGAAACGAGGGATCCCTCATCAGGAAACAGTCAATGTACGCTGACAGGGAACAACCCGAGGGGTTTGGTAATATGAGTGAAAAAACACAGGGCCGTAGAGATGTCAGACGGTAGGACTTGCCATTTGTTATGTCGGCTATTGAAGAAAAAATCATCCAAAACAATGGAGGTTTGTCCATGAAATTGCACACAGATTGTGAATCATAGGCAGTTACAATGAATATTTCTTCAGACCCAGGAAGATGCAGCTGTAAAATCCTTACGTAATGACCTCTGGAGACAGGGGTTCTATTACCTCCTTGTCCAGAAGCCTGATGTTGTCCTATAACGACTCCAAAGTTAGGCAAGGTACGTCAGTTGGAGAGGCGATACAGTGCTATAAAGGGTAAGGGGTACCCGTAGCGGAGAGTCTGAATGACCCAGCAGTCCGGGAAGAGTTGGTCCCAGTTTTGCCAGAACAACTGGAGGTGTCTGCCAAGAGAATAGTCATGAAGAGGGACGACTGGTTGCAATAGGTCCCAGTCATCCACACAGGAAGGAACATCACTGCAGACCATGCTGATTAGGAGGGCTGAGTGCCCAAGAAGACGTGGCCTGGGTCAAAGGCTGGACCCAATTGAGTTGCTTAGCCCAGGGCCGATAGGGTGTCCTACGCGAATACTGGGTACCCCTCTCATTGTCAAAGAGTTTTTCGGACGACCAAGGTTTACATAAAGCTCCAACATGAGGAATGGGCGTCACCCCGGATCCTCAATATAAGCAGGACGGAGCCCGTGGCATGCATGAGAAGTTGAGCCAAGTCCACAAATAATCTCAACCAAAGCAGAGGGCAGTTCCCTCAGGAAGTCCTTCATCAGCAGGCCAATTCTTGTCACAAACCTGCACGAAGGTGATAATGAGAGACAATGGCAGGAGGGACAGACGGAACTCATAGTCGATGGACATCAGTGATCTGTAATCAATCTTGAGTCGCAAAGAAGTAAACGACCTTTGACTGTAGATTTATATGAGATATTAACAATAACAAAGACACAAAGGACCACCCCATTAGTGGATGGTAAAAGATATGTATTGTGCAATGAACACAGGAAGGTAAGTTGCCGTTTTGTCATTCATTGAGACCCTGAAAAATGTTACACAAGGGTTGAAATAGATCAGCAAACCCAAATGACAAACTTAGTCTATTCCAATCATAAACTGGGAGCGAAGCAAATACAGGTCTGTCCAATACGGTTTGGTTGGTTGGTTGGTTTGTTTGTTACGCTGCACTCAGCAATATTCCAGGCATATGACGGCGGTCTGTAAATAATCGAGTCTCGACCAGACAATCCAGTGATTGACATCATGAGCATCGATCCACGCAATTGGGATCGATGACATGCATCAACCAAGTCAGCGAGCCTGACCACCCGATCCCGTTAGTCGCCTCTTATGACAAGCATAGTCGCCTTTTACAGCAAGCATGGGTTGCTAAAGACCTATTCTACCCCGGATCTTCACGGGTCCGGAACAATACGGACTATGTAGGTAAAGGTGACGAGTAGTACAGAAGCATGCTGGGAGCCAGGTGGTCAGAGTGTGTGTCCGGGAGGTTGTTTTACACTGTTCTACACTGTCATATGATCAAAGAAAGAAGAAATATTGCATACTTTTTTTAATTTAAAATATGTGTAAGTAACTAAAAGTAAAGTTAAGGAAAATACTGACAATTTGACAAATTATGACTCAGATATCTTACATTCACATTGAAATATTCAGTGACGCCTCGGCCCGTCTTCCCCAGGACACCAAATGAGAGGCTCTCTTCCAAGAAAATGCGAACCTTGTACTTCCACTTGAGCTCCACCTGGTGACCGAAAGATGACATCATACAGTTTGTTTGTTTGTTGTCTAAAAACTTGCAATGATCCAGCTAAAAGATGCAGCCCGAACATGGTCAAGTCTGGACCAGACAATCAAGTGATTGGTACTGTGAGCAACAATCCATTGTGTTGAGGTATGAGACAACACTATCAGGTTGCTGGGGATCTATTCTGACCCGGAATCCCCCTAGTCTGACTAGCAATGTGCACACCTGGACAATTTTTCGGGGCACACCTACAGTTCACACGTGGACAATTCTACGGGGCACACCTGGACAAGTCTACAAGGCACACCTGCAGGGCACACTTGGACAAGTCTACAAGGCACACCTGCAGGGCACACCTGGACAAGTCTACAAGGCACACCTGCAGGGCACACTTGGACAAGTCTACAAGGCAAACCTGGACAAGTCTACATGGCACACCTGGACAAGTCTACAAGGCACACCTGGACAAGTCTACAAGGCACACCTGGACAAGTCTACAAGGCACACCTGGACAAGTCTACATGGCACACCTGGACAAGTCTACAAGGCACACCTGGACAAGTCTACATGGCACACCTGGACAAGTCTACAAGGCACACCTGGACAAGTCTACATGGCACACCTGGACAAGTCTACATGGCACATCTGGACAAGTCTACATGGCACAGTGTTACCATAGCAACATCCATTTTAGGTACTCACAAGTTGAGGTAGAGGGCAGATGTCTCCATAGTTGACAAACAATCCTTCTGTAACTATAAAACGTCTCGTCACTTTGGCTTTCTTGGGATTCTGTAACAAAACAAAACAGTGAGCAGGGGGTAGATACGGGAATATCAGGTGTCAAATCGGCACATCCTGACATAATCAGTTCACCTGCTTAAGGTTCATTTCCTCTGACATTAGGTACAAGATGGGGTTTGGGTGTAATTCCCATTGTGGCTTAGAAAGATAGTAAGTGTCTGTTGAGTTAAATCAACAATTGGCATTGTGTTCCTCCTAATAAATAAGTTGGCCTCCATAAATTCTCTCTCTTTAATGTGTAAAAATTCAAAACGCCATTCAAAGATTCAAATCTATAATGATAAACATGCTCAACATACATTGTCCAAAGTTTTGTTATGAAGACATTACGGTCAGTCAACAGATGTCAGCTGCCCCCATTGATACTACTGAATGGTAAAGTGCATGAGCACACAGGTGGTGAGGTGAGGTGAAATGGGGGTTAATGTCGCGTCCAAGATTATTGCACTTATATAGCGACGTGCATGCACGTGTGTGTCTGCTTGTACTAGTCAGACTGATGCCGATTTATAGTGCTAGCCCACTGAGATACCATGCCGCAGTTTAACATGAATACCCCACTCAGACACAGTATACTGACTCCAAGCCGACCAGTCCTTGTATTAGCCCCTTAATGCCGAGCGCCAGACAGGGTAACAACTAGTACCATCTTTTAACGTCTTTTGGTATGACGCGGCCAGGGGATCGAACCCCGGACCTTCCGCTCTCCGGGCGGACGCTCTACCACTAGACCACGGAGACGGTCGCATGAGCACACAGACAGACACTGGTATACTGAAGGTCGTGTATATAATTCTTCCAGTCTGGTTCTGGATCAGAGCCATCAAGATTTTAACAAGTGGTGTCAGGTGACCAAATAAGTGTGCAGCCATGTTGATATTAGCAATAACGGATGCACTGAAGACAAACTAAACATTTCAGACTATTTTGATTCACTCTTAATGACAATTACTGTAAATTATCCAAATACAAAAACGGTTGCAGATATATTTCAAGGTCTCATTTTTGAAAGGTTTTGTGCTCTGTAGGCTCACCATGGGAAAATTGAAAACAACAAATATTACTCTGGACTGATCTCAAAATAAACCCCTGAAATACCTTCTTATCGTTTTGTTGTTGCTCAATAAGAAGTCGCTCCAAGTCGGCCATGTCATTGTGCTTGAAGAACTTGACAATGCTACGAGATGCCACCAGACCTTTCTGGATGGAGAAGCAGACTCCCTCATCACTGTACAAACAACAACAGTGGCATGGTTAGAAGAAAACAGTTTGGGTTGCACACTACAAACTACTTCATTGTTCATTTCGTACGTGTCAGTGTTCATTGTATTTCTTTGTTTGTTGTTTAATGCCGAACTCAACCTATATGACGATGGTCTGTAAATAATTGAGTCTGGACCAGACAATCCAGCGATTTATATCATGAGCATCATTCCACACAATGGGGGATACGATGACATGTATCAACTAAATCAGCAAGTCTGACCACCCGATCCTGTTAGTCACCTCTTACGCCAAACATAGTCGCCTCCTACGGCAGGCATGGGTTGCTGAAGACCCATTCTACCCAGGATCTTCATGGGGCTTGAATTCATTGTCATGCTCCTTTAAAAAGTATTTCATGTTGTCCTATCTCAGCAAATGTTTTCGGGGAAGCTTAAGGAATGCCGGCTGTAGACATTTACCACTTGATGAAACACAAGAGCTCAGGATGAATCTAGAACCAAGCAGACTGGATAGGTAAGGAAAGCAACTCTGCATATCTGCTTGCCATATCTCTGTCCCCTGACTTCACAAAACACAACATAGATGTTTCAACTTTCATGTGATAACATGTCTTCGTATTATTCTTACTTCAACCCACATGGTGCTTACCATGCTTACATGAAAACCTTTATATATTAATCCTACACTAAATCTAGGCACACTTCTATGACATGTTTAGAATCCATGCTGTGTGTGAAGGAAACTGGAAATAGCATCTGATGTTGATGTGAAACTTACCAGAACACTATGTCCCCCCTCTTCGAATAGGCTGGGATAGCGCTGGCAATGGTGGCAAACCCGTAAGAATACAAGATGGCTTCCTCACAATTCATGAACTTGGCCAGTTTCTCTTCCAGTTCCAGGTGAACGTCTGAGAAGGAAATCAATGGTGGAAATAGGTCGCATCTTGTCACTAACACATGTCAATAATCATTCAAACATGTGATGGTTTAAAAAGCAACTGGAAATATATTCTTTCTTACTGACCTCAAACTAAAAGTTAATCTTTGGGACTGGTCATTTATTATAGGGGGTGGTTTTCTCACACACACCCTCCCCCATAGATGTAACATATTTTTTATATTTATCTTTTACTACACATAGTACCTTATGAAAGTTTGATTTGATATAAGAATAACAAATAAATATCAATCACATGTCAACAAATTCCCAGTATAAGAAACGGTTACAGTTTCTCAGTTTCTTACCCATGGTTCCGTAAAAGCCTCTCGGTCCACATGAGCCTACCCCATAGACTTTCAGTGCTGCTATGGCCTTCGCCTACAAAATGCAAAGGATTACTTAACCGTCAGCATTGGTGGTCAGGCTCACTGACTTGGTTGATGCATGTCATCATATCCCAATTGATCGATGTTCATGATGTCAATCACTGGATTGTCTGGTCCAGATCCGATTATTTACAGACCGCCTTCATATAGCTGGAATATTGCTGAGTGCGGCGTTAAACAAACAAACAAACAAACAAACACAGCAACACTGTGTCTTCGTTTAAGCATTCAACTGACTGGAAAGAAAGCCACAATGACCAAATGACAATAGCCTAGCCTAGTAGAGTAGAGCCTAATAGAGTTAGTATAATGTGCGAAACTGCTCCATCTTCTATTGTTATTCGGATCTACCAAACTCATTGGATGACAACAAATCTGTGAACCATAAAACAGAAAGAGCAGGGTTCAAATGGCAGTCACATAACAAACAGGTCGAACCATGTAAACTATTAAATATCAAACCTCAATGCTTTTATCATTGATCATGCCAAGGAAGTCGAGAGTGGCCATGTTGATACACCGCTTGCCATTGATGGTAACATACTTGTCTGGACGGCTGAAATCAGAAACATGATTGTTCCGCAAACAGGTCGAATTACCATGACCACAGTGAGTAAGTGAGTGAGTCTTAACGCAACTTTGATCAATATTCCAGTTATGTCATGGCGTGAAAACTTACTGTGGGGGGGGGGGGGGGGGGTGAGTGAGTGAGAGAGAGAGAGAGAGAGAGAGAGAGAGAGAGAGAGAGAGAGAGAGAGAGAGAGAGAGAGAGAGAGAGAGAGAGAGAGAGAGAGAGAGAGAGAGAGAGAGAGAGAGTATGGTTTTATGCTACTTTTAGCAATATTCCAGCAATATCACAGCAGGACAACAGAAATGGGCTCCACACATTGTACCATGTTGGGAATCAAACCCAGGTCTTCAGGTCAATGAGCAACGCTTTAACCACTAACCTACTAGACGGTGCCTCTGACACAATGACCACTAAAGGAGACTGCTATATTGTCATATTGACTCAATACATTTTCATGAACAGTACATTGAAAGAAGGATGCTTTCTGGGAAAAATGATGGAGTTGCTTATAGACAAACGGTGTGCCGTCACCCCATACCCAGATATCATGTTCTGCTCCATGCTCTGCAGGATTGGGTGGTCGTCTGGCACATCAGGGGCCAAGGGCTCTGGCTGCCAGTCGGCAATAAGGTCTGCCTTTTCCTGTAAACAAATACATCATTTATTATTTCTCATGCACTTATATATTTCAGATAATACTTTTTAATGATATACCATTTGCATACAAACAAGGGACATTTTGAACAGAAACAAATGCTAACCATAGTTAAGTAATTACATATATAGTCACAGTCTGCAACTTTAGCCACTAGTCCGAGTCCAGAAAAATCTGTTAGGTCTAGTAAGCTCAGCTAACAGAAACGCCATATGATGACACTAAAATGTACTGAGAATGATGCTAAGAGCCAAGCGGAGGCCTGTTTTGGGCACAGACTGTTGTTACATGAACATCGCATCGATTAAATATAATGAGTGGTTAGTATTGATCAGGAAAACTTCAATTTAGTTCATATATCTGCACATTCTGCAGACCTGGAAAGTTCACTTGCTACAAAATATGCCAACATACCAATTTCATTAAAATCAAATCTAAGTTCTCGCTGCCGCTAAACAAAGATCTGAGGACATCCCATTTCGGGTCACAACCTTTCGCAAACTTTGACAGACCACTGAAATGACTATCAAGAAGCCGATATCAGCCAAATAGAAAGCAGCTTTCTCGAGCTTTTTATTTTAAAAACTGTAAAAAACCGAACATTCCCGAATGTCTAATATATGGTTGTGATTGTATGGCAGTGCTTCCCTTGTACTATGGAATGCCTCCTCCGTTCAAATGTTTATCCCACGTAAGCGAGAGATAGACCATAATTTAGACGGAATCAGTCCTACAGGCCATAACTGACGTTCGGAATATCCTGTTTTCGAGGTTGCATGATTAGAATACACATTCCAACTGTCACTTTCATGATCTGGTAAGCGACGCTTTCATTGGTCGGATGAAAGGTCGTTCTGACGTGACCCGTAATGGGATGTCCTCAGATCTTTGTTTAGCGATAGTGAGATTGGACAACATACATAGTCCACATAATAACACTAAAATCTACTCAAAATCATGTCAAGGGACATGTTGGAGCTAGTAGACTAGAAGATGTTGGCATAGACTGTCATCAGAATTGTTTTTATGTTATAACATCAACATAACAATATTGATATTCTATACTGAGAATGATAGTAACGATTAAGAAATATATTATGGTCCATCAAAATGTGACCTCTACTGGGGATGTGGTAACGTAATTGGTGATGTATATTAATGCTGTCATGTGACTATCGACATCTGCAAAGGGTTAGCATGGCAAATGGTACGTAGAAGACCACTAACTCTCAGTTCAAAATTGCTATAAAAACTACATTTTACCTCATCATGCAACCTTGTAATGGTTAACACAGGTATTCTGAATGACAATAACGTGGTGTACGACTGAATCTGTCACAATCACCTTCTCCCTCTTGCTTCAATGGGATAACTATTTGCACAAAAGAGATATTCCCAATCTCATTAAAATCAGAATCTAAGTTCTCGCTTCCGCAAAACAAAGATCTGGGGACATCCCATTACGGATCACATCAGAACAACCTTTTGCTAACTTTGACCGACCACTGAAATGAATAACCAGAAGTCGATATCAGCCAATGAGATAGCAGCTTTCTCGAGCTTTACGGCACTCGTTTCAACCTGGTGACTTCCATTTCAGACTACGCTTGAAAAAATTGTTGACACAGTTTTCGATTAAAATTTTCAAAACTGAACAAACGAACATTCCAGAATGTCTAATATATTGTTGCGATTGTATTGCAGAACTTCCCCTATACAGTGCAACGCTCCTCTGTTCAAATGTTTATCCCATGGAAGCGAGAGTTAGACAATATTTTTGACAGAATCATTCCGTAACTGTCGTTCGAAATACCCCGTGTTAAAGTTTTCAAGGTTGCATGATTAGAAAACACATTCCGACTGTCATTTTCATGATCTGGTAAGCGATGCTTTGATTGGTCGGATGAAATGTCGTTCTGACGTGACCCGTAATGGGATGTCCCCTGATCTTTGTTTAGCGATACCGAGAACTAAGATCTGATTTTAATGAGATTGGAGATATTCCATGGCCCATGGGAAGTACTGCTATACAACCTAAGTCATCTGTTAAACATTCCAGGTTGTTTTGTTCAGCTTTCAAATTCTAAGTCGAGAACTTTGTCAAAGTATTTTTCAAAGCGTAGTCTGGAATGTCAGTCACCAGTTTGAAACCAGACCTGGGGTATTTGTATTCAGATATTATTCATGACGAAAAATTGAGTATTCACATGTATTTATTTTTGTTAACAACTCATGAATACAAAGTAAACACAATTTATGGATACCATATTCGACGTAATAAGCGGCCCGCTCTAATAAGTGCCCACGGCGATATTTGCTAATATATTGGGACGTGAACAATCCCAATTAGCACCCCTTCCGATTGATCAATGTAAACAAGACTTATTCATTCGTGTATAATACGCACTCCTGTGTTATATGCACCATTAATTATGGGCAATTAAATTTTGGAAAAATATATCTGCCGTACATAAACATTTCAGGCTGTCAGCATAAACCATGACATTTATCTTTCAACTGGTTTTTTTCACCAAAATAATATTTTAATAAGAGCCCCCTATTTCTAATTTTGAGAGCGCCCTGGGCGCTTATTAAGTCGAATACGGTAACAACTTCTCTATTTACTGTAAAGGCGATGTTTCAGAACATATCCTTATACTGTTGTCAAGCAAGGCCATGAATACACATATTCATACTGTATACAGAGCTCCAGATAACTTTTTAAGCAATTGAGTTTTTACTCTAGGGTTTCTATTTTAATTGGGTAATAACATTTTTCATTGGGTAACCAATATTATTTCACTCATCCATTCATAACTCTATTGGGTTTTCCCCAAAATTAGTGACCATTTAAATTTTTTGAAAAAAAGGTGAAATAATGTTTTAGATGTATATAACTGTTCTAAATATATAGGCTTAACTCAGAAAGTAAATTAGCTCATAATTGTGTTTCGGAAATTAGCTCCGTTGTATGCATGCTGAAAAAGCTTCATTGGGTATTTACGCAAGCTGTTTTTATACATTTGAGTTTTTCATATAATGCATGCGTTTCTGTACGCAAGATAATTGAAAGTAATTGGGTTTTGAACATTTTTGGGGAGTATTTCATGCAAATACGCAGCTTATCTGTAGTTCTGTGTATTTGAATACTCTCTTCCAAACCCCTGTATTTATAATTACTTTAGGAATACATTATGAATACTTTTATTTTACACTAAATGATGTGTGATTGCTCAAATGATGTATTATATCATTTTTATTCTCCAGTATTTCTGGGTAGGTCACCTTTCCTATTTGTTATTGTATAGAATGTTAGAATGATCATAGTGTTGAAAAAGACAAGGTCCCCATCTGGTCTTTTATTTCATGTAACGACACTCCACAGACTAGTGATTTGCAAACTAGCTCACAATGGCAAAAAACACTACATGTTGATTTCAATATTGTTTACTAATGATTAAGCATAAACTAAATAACAAACATTTACACCTTTTTATTTTTGCTAATGATGCTAATTGAATTATATTAGTTTTATTTTTGTCCGTCACTTAAAGGCTCAGTTGGATTGTCCTGCACTAAACAGCCTCCCAGTTAATATTACATCCAGTCATGCTATTGTATAATCACAATTAACATGAACCATTGCACGAAAACACAAGCTGTTACATGAACAGCCGGGCTGAACCTCCCATTCTACAAGCAAACAATGGGCCTAATCAGCAGGTTGCCATATGCCTTTGTTCTTGCCTAGCGACTCATTCTGGTTTGTTCACACTAAAATCGGTTTGGTTCATTCTGGATCAGGTGTAAAACTTGTCCATCAGGTGACTATTTTTTTATTGCTTCTGATTGGCCAATTAGGTTCAGCCTTGTGACTTTGTGCATTTCCCTAACCATGTGCCACTTTGAACTGCACATTGCAGGAGGAAAGGGCACGCTGGGCATGCTGGGCACATTGGCTCAGGATCCGATACATATCAAAATATTTGTATGAGCTCATATCTGAAGTGCATAACCCATATTTTTTATAGACAGGATATTTAAATGCCTGGCACACTGATGATTTACAGTTGGCAGTATCAAGTATGGCACAATGGATGAAAATATTTACTTTTTCACTACTAATTTTAACTACTAGTGTTTGGACAAACATTTATTAAAGAATACATTTAAGGTAAGAATCGATATGTTTTACGTAGGGGGCAACTGTGATCAATACTTGCATCGGCAATTCAAATATTGCGATCCACCGATGCATTGGTGTATCGTCCTATCACTAACTTCATATGTACCTAATGTTGAGAGGTCGGATGTGTGTTATGTCAAGTCAGCAGCTTTGATGACATCACACCTCTCTTTTTAACGCGACAAATCACGATCAATATGGGTTTTAGAAAACAGCATATAGTATGACTCTACAATATCGCTGGCTCTATATTATCGCGGTCTCTGCAAATGTTGTAATCCACACACCCTGTCGACTGTTTACTAACGTATATCTAAGCACAATATTTCATCGCTTGATCGAATACAGGACTCGTTGTGGTATGTCATGGCTACTTGTAAGTATACACGCTAACTTATTATTATAGTTTCTGTAATGTTTTTTAAAATTTAATTACCCCTACATCCGTTCAAAAGTGGTTAGAATAAAACCCACTGGTTTGGACAATGTCCTGTGTCCCAAACTCGGTTGTATGCATACTGATTATGCATAATTCAAAACAGGAAGTGATGTTAAGTGCCTAATCCACATGTATCACACCACAAAATACAAAATAGTGACACCATGATCAAATAGAGTTGCCTGCCCTTGAGTAACTAATGACAGGTACTTTGTTTACCGAACTCGATCAAGAAAATCAGCAGCGATCAATTGATGTGTCATAAAAGTTTAACAAAGAATCAGAAACATTTTCCATATGACATATTTATATAGGTTAGTAAGCGTGAGCCATTACAGTCCATTAAAAATGAACTACCGCAATAACATAGCGCACGATGCTACTCAACAGCAACATCCAGTAGATGGTCATCAGGGTAAACAAATGTTTCCAAATAGATTGCACACCTAATAAACATTGTACAATAGGATTTGCTTGGTCACCACTCCAAAAGTGTACAAACCTTTTCTGTTAAGACTGTTCTTTCTGGAGCATAGCTCTTGGAGAATAAGAGAAGCTTGAAGATCCATACTATCAACAGAGCTTCAAACACCAAGTGGTAAGCTGGCGCCTGCAATGTATAATTATTCCTGTTATGTCTAACGCCTGTTTCATATATATGATATTCTGAAATACCTAAATTATGATAATTCTATTTGAAATACATGAGCTCATTGTGGAATGACTGTGTTCTACGCAATAAATATTTCATAAAACATGTTTACTTCATTGTTTTCTTTAACTAATAGCTTATGTAATAAGTTAGAAAACAAAGTTAGATTTGTATTATAAAACCAACTAAGCAAATTAAACCATTATTACGATATGCTTATGAACGAAATTACATGATTTATGGCATAATAACAAATACATTCCATTCTGATGACAATATGAGCCAAATATACTGTTAGGCCGGCTCCCATCACGAAAACAGAGCAGGTGCACCTTACCGAAAGAAACACAAACGTGAAAATCAGTCATCAGTTTCATGAAGGATATGTAAATACTCATATTCTATGGTGTTAAAAAATAGTAATACATCTTCTACATTCTATTTCTCACCTGTATAAAACCTTGTATGAGGTCATACATGTCCCAAGTTGCTGGCAGGATAGCCATTGTGATGCTTGTCGTGAAGGTAGCGAGAGTTACAAAGGGGAGGTAATCCGGTTAACAAGTTGAATCTTGTACACGCCCATGGGTTGTAAAACCGGCGCAACCATGCTCACTGAACCGAAAACACAAGGATTTTAAATTTGGATGATTAATTTGATATTGTATTCTGGGTCAACAACTTATTTGTGGTCGATCATTTTTCAGAAATTCATTATTCAAAATAACACTGTATCCATGGATTTAAATACATATTAAAAATCTCATCTTTGAAAAAGATATAACTATCAGGTTTACTTATAACCTTTGGTTAATTTGAACAGTGTGCAATTTTGTGATATATTCAATTGTGTGTAAGTATTTAATAAGTAAAACATTCCCATTTAATCAGATGTTGATAACTATATCAATTACTGTCTGGAGTCAACAGAACTACATCTAGATTTAGAAATCAGTTAATCAGAATCACAGCAGGTGCAATAATGATAATAATAACAACAATAATAATGTGCATATTTATAATGTGCCAATCCACATCCAACAGTGTGCTCAAAGCACTACATTATTAATCCAGTCAATGGATGAGTGTCGGCTTGATTTTCATTCTCAGCTCCCTGGGGAGTATACAACCCAAGCTGCTTGTGAGGGGCTAGAAGGTTAACAGTCACATTACCATTCACTGCTGGGTTAACAGAGGCACATTTCGACCAAAGTCACTTGCCTCAGGAGACACCGCATGTAACATGTGCTTCAGTGTGTAGCAGGACTGAAGTTCTAGAAACTCGATCAGGAGCCAAGCTGACGAATCTGGTCACCCATCCAGCTACCCTCTGCAACCAACACTGCTTAACTTCACCTGATTTCTGCGCTGTGCACAGGACCGCGTGACATGATCATCGTCATCACCATCATCATAATACTCATTGAATCATCACAAAACCCATCTTCCCGAAGCAAGTGAGTAAACTGACTATAAAAGTCCAGTTTCCACCCTTGCCGAACTAGGATGGTATTAATGAGTTACATTTTGGCTGGACTGATGAGTCTATGCATAGTCCAATCAAAATCGCGTTCCGAAATTGAAATCTGGTTCGTAAATTGTCATGCAGAATTCGGTCGATTGCAAGATTTGCAAAGCATGTACACCACTAACTCGTTGTCAACAGATATTTTCAAAATCTTTTCATGTTTTTAATAAAGGTGTTCATGTGATTTGATGCACTTCGCGATGTAAGACTCGTTTTATCATAGTTATGGATGTTGATTATCAATCAGATCGTCTTGACTGGGCGCCACCGTTTGAAAGAAATGCAAGTGATACCAGAGGTGGAATCTGATTGGTCTATAGGGGAGGCATAGAAGGGACATAACTCTTAACAGCCACTGGTGGCACTATGATCGAGCCCATGAATTCCAGCCTAGTTGGCAAGGGTGGAAACTGGACTTTTTAAGTCAGTTAACTCTCTTGCCTCGGGAAGATGCACAAAACCCAGCTGGGCAAACATGGCGATTGGCATCAACATCTTTGGTCATAAGTTTTATTAAATGAAATATATGGTCTCTGCCTGTACCTATGAAGTTAAATATGCTGACAGTTGTCATTTTTTACATTTTTACATCCATAATTATATTTTGAAAGTGTTTTCCAGATCACTTCAAATTCTGTCAACCATGAAGTCTTGCTGTATGTGATGCTCAGGTTTGTGGCCTCTCACAGTATGTTGCACTGTATTTGTGTCAGGCCATCTTAAATTGCCAGTTTCCTATTTTTTTTGTCTTTGTCAGAATATATTTGGGCTTCTGCATCTTTGATTGTTTTTGGTGTGTATTTCCAATTACCAAGTTTGCGTATTTATTGGCACAAAAAGCATTTAATGTGGAATATAATTATTATTGTGACAAGTTTTGTTTTACTTCCAACCTAGTCTGTTTACCAATGTCATTCATCTTCAAATCTTTGATGTAAGTGAGTTTGGGAAGGGTGAGGTGTGTGTGGGATGAGGCAGTCTGTCTGGCTGGCTGCTTGTGGTTGTTGGTTTGTTGTTTTACGCCGCACTCAGCAATATTCCAGCTCTGTGACGGCGGTCTGTAAATAATCGAGTCTGAACCAGACAAACCAGTGATTGACATCATGAGCATCGATATACGCAATTGGGATACGCTGACATCAACCAAGTCAGTGAGCCTGACCACCTGATCCCGTTAGTCGCCTTTTACGACAAGCATATTCACCTTTTATGGCAAGAAAGGGTTGCTGAACACCTATTCTACCACGGGTCTCCTACATTATAGGGACAGTGGTCAAGGGGTGTTGAAAAACAATCATATGAATAGTAATCATAAAATTTCTTTTTTTATTGATGTCTTAAAATATTGTTACTTGTCTTCGATAAAAGATGGAAGGAAAAGTGCCAAGATGAAAGGACACACCCTTCCCAAAAAGGTTGGTGTTTCAATCCCCTGGCCGTGTCATACCAAAAGACATGGTATTTTTTGTTTCCTTGCCTAGCTCTGGCCATAAAGGGGATAAAACTAGAACTAGTTAGTATACTGTGTCTGTGTGGGGAATCCATTTTAAACTGTGGCATGGAATCTCTGTGGGCTAGCACTATCAAACAAGCATAAATCTAGCCTACCACAAGCAGTGAAGATTTACAGATTTACAGTCTGCCGTCATATAGCTGGAATATTGCTGAGTGTGGCTTTTAACAAACAAACAAACAAAAACATATAATGTAGGAAGAAAACAAACACTCAAAACTGATGTGAATAAAGGCCTTTGTATGTTATCCATAGATATGTAATACAGATGTGTAAACAAGAATATTTTTTATTGGGTCACAACATATGAATTATTTGCTCGTCAGCTTTTTTATTTTTGTGTATATAAAAGATTATTTTCTAAAAAAAGAGTTAATTTCTGTATTTTGATTATACTGTTGTAGTGTTACCGTAGTTGACATAATAAGCACCCTGCTCACCCCAGTGATATTTGCTAATCCCAATTAGCACCCCTTCTGTTCAATGTACTCAAGACCTATTTATTTGCATATAATACACACTCATGTGTTATATGCTCCCTTAATTATGGGCAATTATATTCTGGAAAAATATATCTGTCATACATAAGCATTTCAGGCTGTCAGCATAAACCACGAAATCTATCTTTCAACTCTGTTTTTTCACCATAATAATTTTATAATAAGAGCACCCTATTTCTAATTTTGAGAGCGCCCTAGGCGCTTATTACGAAAACAGTAGTTGTTTTGTCAGTGATGCATGTTCTGCATTAGTCAGTATTCTAGACTCCGAGCAATTGAGTATTTTCTTAGGTTTAAATAATAAATGTAGTGCTTACAGAATCTTTACATTTCCAGCATCATATCATACAGATGTCCATGTACTTGTTATCGCAAAGTTTCCTTGGTTATACAATACTTGCTTCAACCAGAAATAAAACTTGTGTAGGATCAACTGAAATCTCCTTGGAGATGTTCCTTTATTGTCCATTGATTGGATTGTTATCAACAGATTCTACACTATCATACAGAGTACAAATGCAGGGCCACATCTTCCGTAGAATTTTACAGAAATTCAACTTGATATAGAGTATATATTCTCAGGTCAGAATTGGTCTTCAGCAGTCCATGTGTGCCACCCTCCTTAAAGATCCAGGTCAGAATTAGTCATCAGCAGCCCATGTTTGCCACCCTCCTTGAAGATCCAGGTCAGAATTGGTCTTCAGCAGCCCATGTTTGCCACCTTCAGTGAAGATCCAGGTCAGAATTGGTCTTCAGCAGCCCATGTTTGCCACCCTCCTTGAAGATCCAGGTCAGAATTTGTCTTCAGCAGCCCATGTTTGCCACCTTCAGTGAAGATCCAGGTCAGAATTGGTCTTCAGCAGCCCATGTTTGCCACCCTCCTTGAAGATCCAGGTCAGAATTGGTCTTCAGCAGCCCATGTTTGCCACCCTCCTTGAAGATCCAGGTCAGAATTGGTCTTCAGCAGCCCATGTTTGCCACCCTCCTTAAAGATCCAGGTCAGAATTGGTCTTCAGCAGCCCATGTTTGCCACCCTCCTTGAAGATCCAGGTCAGAATTGGTCTTCAGCAGCCCATGTTTGCCACCTTCAATGAAGACCCAGGTCAGAATTGGTCTTCAGCAGCCCATGTTTGCCACCCTCAGTGAAGATCCAGGTCAGAATTGGTCTTCAGCAGCCCATGTTTGCCACCCTCCTTAAAGATCCAGGTCAGAATTTGTCTTCAGCAGCCCTTGTTTGCCACCCTCCTTAAAGATCCAGGTCAGAATTGGTCTTCAGCAGCCCATGTTTGCCACCTTCAGTGAAGATACAGGTCAGAATTGGTTTTCAGCAGCCCATGTTTGCCACCCTCCTTGAAGATCCAGGTCAGAATTGGTCTTCAGCAGCCCATGTTTGCCACCCTCCTTGAAGATCCAGGTCAGAATTTGTCTTCAGCAGCCCATGTTTGCCACCCTCCTTGAAGATCCAGGTCAGAATTTGTCTTCAGCAGCCCATGTTTGCCACCTTCAGTGAAGATCCAGGTCAGAATTGGTCTTCAGCAGCCCATGTTTGCCACCCTCCTTGAAGATCCAGGTCAGAATTGGTCTTCAGCAGCCCATGTTTGCCACCTTCAATGAAGACCCAGGTCAGAATTGGTCTTCAGCAGCCCATGTTTGCCACCCTCAGTGAAGATCCAGGTCAGAATTGGTCTTCAGCAGCCCATGTTTGCCACCCTCCTTAAAGATCCAGGTCAGAATTGGTCTTCAGCAGCCCATGTTTGCCACCCTCCTTAAAGATCCAGGTCAGAATTGGTCTTCAGCAGCCCGTGTTTGCAACCCCCAGTGAAGATCCAGGTCAGAATTGGTCTTCAGCAGCCCATGTTTGCCACCTTCAGTGAAGATCCAGGTCAGAATTGGTCTTCAGCAGCCCATGTTTGCCACCCTCCTTGAAGATCCAGGTCAGAATTTGTCTTCAGCAGCCCATGTTTGCCACCCTCCTTGAAGATCCAGGTCAGAATTTGTCTTCAGCAGCCCATGTTTGCCACCTTCAGTGAAGATCCAGGTCAGAATTGGTCTTCAGCAGCCCATG